GAATTTAATCAAATTTCATTAAAAAAAATTTCTTTTAATATTTATTTTTTATTTATAAAACTTAAATTTAAAATTTTGTTTAAAAAAATTAAATTCTTTCTATTCATATTAATGTTTCATATTAATTAATAATTGATAAAAATTATTTCTCATTCCGAACTGCCTAAACTAGCAGTAGCTAAACCATTTTTCGTTTAGTGAACTCTATCCGAACCTATGTACCAAAAAAAAAGACTCTATCCGAATCTTATGAGACTGTATGAAGCTCAATTAATGAAGGCTCCGAAAAAAACATGACCCTTTATTAACTCTTTTTTTTCTTGTTTGGCGTGCATATGTTCATGTTGCAAATAAAGAAGAAAAAAGGTGGAGGGTGGTTTATAAAAGTTCAAGAAAAAGGGACGCCATCCTCAATGATTAAGCTAGTGATTACTCCAAAATGAGCTTTCAAGTTTTTGCAAATTTAAGCAAAGAGATTAGCAGTTTAGCACCAAAAGCACATGAATAAATTAATAGGGTTGTTGATTTATCAATGTCAAATGTATCAAATGGTTGTCTAAGTAGGGTATAAGATGGGATTAATTAGAACAAATTGCAATGGTAGTTCCATGTGCTCTCTCTGTCAATTTATTCCTCAAAACTCAAAACGACTTGATGGATTTTAGATCTTGGATTTGTTTTTTAGTCTAAGCCGCCATTATTATGCATGTTTGGCTGGCAAATGCCTGAGGTCATGTTGACCATGGAACATGCCCCAATGCCAAGAAACTGGACAAAACAAACCATAAAACAAAAATCGCTGCTTATGACAAAAAAAGGGACTAATCTTTTCTTAAAGAAGAACAACAAATAAGGGTTCCATATTCATGTTCATGGTTGTAAACTTAAATCCCAGATGAAATCCAATAGCCTATCAATATGAGCATGTGAAAAGCAAATTGAAACTAAAGGAGTAAAACTAGACAACATGCACATGGAATTATGCATATTTCTGCCAAAGAAATTTTGGAGTGTACTGCGTTTCCCCCATAATCTCTTATGACATGAGTATCATCTGGTTAGTTCATTTTCTGGGCTATGAATTTTCTATGCAATTTTCTGAATGTTTTGCCCAAGAAATTTTGGTTATGTTATAACAGGAAGTGTTGATATATTACATCCACTTTCTCCCAGGAGTAACGATAGAGAGCACAAAAATTTGAGACTAATAATATAGCATATTATTAAATTAATTGATACATATCATATTATAAATTTAAAAAAATTATAAAAAAATTAATTATTAAATAATATTTTAAATGACATAACTTATATCACATCATTAATAATGAATTTTAGTCTCATTTATCATTATCCTTCTTGAAATACCTCAAATGATTTTCAGACAAAAATTCTAAAATTCTGGTGTGTGTCTGTTTCAAAAAAGATTTTCCTTTTCCTCCCTTCACCTCTCATTTCCGTGAAACGAGGCCAAACATCACCCATAATTTGCTTCCATCTTAGCCAAAAGAGTACGAGTCAGTGGACAGAGAGAGAGCGCAAATGGCGGAAGCGTTCCGGCCCTCCTGCAAGCCGGGATCCGGAGATAGTCAATAACCGGCCCCCCTACAAGACCCATAGGGGTGGCCGGAAGATGTATCCTTTGGTCATATTATCCCATGCTTTTGCTGCTGCTGCTGTTGCTGTTGCTGTTCTTCTTTAAACGTCTAAATAATCTGTGGGCCTATTTATAACAAATTTGCATATTTCCAATATAGTGAGAGGGTGAAAAAAAGGCACCATGAAACAAAACAGTAGGGAGCGAGGAGAGAGATCATAAAACTACCTTTGCTGTATAAACTACATGGAAATATTTACAGATGAATAGTTAAATGGTTTGTAGGTCTAAGCTTTTAACTGTTTTTTCATTTTCTGATTCTTTTTTGGACTTCTTTGACTATTATCCACATAGGAGACCTGCAAAATATATGCAACGTGTGATGTTGCCGTGTTACATACTTGCACATGGTACTGCACACACACCCCTTGGATGTAAAAATCTAAACTTTTCAATCAATACTTACAATGTGGGATTTCCACTCAACTGTCTCATGCCCATCTGAGACATCAGCAGATTGTGAATGATTATCAACACGGCGGAATATGTGAATAAGAACAACAGCATCAAGAGCAGCATACTCCAGCTGCACAATGGTAAAAGAAGGAATTCCATTAGTTTGTAATGGCTGTGACAGCTGATGTAAGAAACAGAATTGCAGGTCATCTTAGAATCTTGTTCTTCTAATTACACAAATTTTCTGCCCAATTTCTCTCTTCTATGCACCTTACACTTCTAACAACTATTCTACCAAAAATCTGTCGAGGTTAAGTTCTATAGAAACCTCCTAAAGTGGATACCCAGTGGCAAGCAACCATCTCATCTTCCACATGCAGTTCTTTAATAGAACAGCACACAGGAAGGATAAATGAACGCATAAAAGGATGTATACCTGATTCTTACTCAGAGGTCTTTGCTCCCAGTTGCTGTTCCGTCTTGTTTTGTTCAAGCCCACTCCCAATATTTTCTGGATAGGTAACATGCAAAACAATAATTACAGAGCATTGGAATTATTACACAAAACCATGTCATATACCCATGTTATTTTTATTTTTTTAAAAAAACTACTGAACATGGGAAGGAGGGACAGTAACTCCGACAGCATTGTTCATGTTTGATTTACCTCCACAAGGCCTGACAGACCACCTTGAGCTTCTTTGAACACATTCTGGACATCCAGAAGCCTTTCACAGTGCTTGAAACACTCCAAGTCTCCATATGAATGAGCCAGTTGCTTCAAATCACACTGAAAATTATAACCTGCAACTCACGCAGAGTGTTTACAGCATTAATAAAGCAATAACAAGATCTTTTAGTCGATTCCAAAACGTAAATAAATACTATTGAGTCAAGAAAAGTGATCCAAATACAAGTTAAACTACTAATGTACTGGGAGTAAGGGGAATTCCCTTATCTAAACAGAAAGAGACTCTCATTACCAAGTTTCAAGATTCTAGGAGACTGCAATATACGAGTTAGGCAGTTGTCAAGAGCATCAGGCACTTTCTTGTATAACTTTATCAAGTCAAAGATGAAAACCATCTTATCAGAAGCTATTTGCATGATAGAAACCTGATTCAAGGACAAAACGTTTCAATTGCCTACCAACAATTCCAACAGTCATGAATAAACAAAGAACACCACAATTAAGAAAGAAAAAAGCAGGAACAAACAAACAATATGCAAAAACTGGAACGGAGAACACTCTTTATTTAAATTATCTGTTTATAAGTCTTCATCCAATCCTTTTTCTGTATTTAGCTAAATTAAGAAACAGTAGGTTAAAAAACAAGTATATTGACTCCTGAATACAAAAATAATTTAACCACAAGTATTTTTTTCCCCTTGTCTGTAAGCATAGCATAGGGGACAAGCAAAAATCAATTAGGGTCAATCAAATTCCAGAAAGCAGAGATTGTTCTATGGTTATCTACTTACCTTGTTTGGCTGGCTGCCTTTTACAAAATTGGGTTTCCATTCACAATCAAGACCAACGACTTTACATCCCTCGATCTGGAAAGTCACATTATGCAGGCTCTCAAACTCATCAACCCAAATTACATCTTCCACTGCCAAGTCATTGAGACTCAAAAATTGACTTCGCAAAATTGCAGCTTCAGGTCCTGAGCAGCAGCAGCATAAGCATATGAGTCTGGCTATCAGATCCCATCATCAATCAACACAACATTTAAATCTACAGTTTGTGACATGGAAAAGAGAACTAAACAACAAGCAAAACAAGCACCACGATGGTTCTAAACAGTTTACAGAAAAAAGAAAAATAAATTTCAGAATAAAATCTAAAGTGTCCCATAGAAAAACAGCAGAAATAAACTGGATCTGACCATATACATCTGTTGGCCAAAAAAAAAAACCACTGTTGTCTAGTGTCATTCTCATTGAGGTTTAAGTGCCATTGATGCCCTTTTTGGATCATGTTCCTTGGGAATGGCTGTAAAAAGGGAAATAGCTGCAGACTAAAGACTTTGAACTCTGAAGATGAAAAATTAACTAGCACACACAGGCATCCAATCCAAGAGAGAGAAATAGTTGACTTCTCTCATGGCGGCAGACTTTTCTTTATCAAGAAAAAAGAAAAGCTCTCTTGGTTTGCTTAATGATATCAGAATTAAGGAAAATTTGACCAATAAAAAATGGAATAATATATAATGTCCCACCAAAAGATTGATATTAGAAATTTTGACTAATTGCCTGAATTAATTGTTAGACATATAACAGAAACAAATAACAACAAATTTGAGCCAATGTTCTTACTTAAGTTTATCACATTATCAATCCTACTTTTCATTTCCCATTGCAGCTGTTTGCACTAAATTCTGAACAGAACATAGGTCAAAGCTAAAAACTTCTGCAGAATTTTGTGAAAAACACTTTCTCAGGCAAATTATATAGTTTGCAAGCATGATAAACACAGAATTTAACATCTATCCTAAAAAAATGCTGGATGGGCATACCTTTTGCTTTCAAGAAACCTTCAAGTGAGTAACATTCACAGAGTTCATCAACCTTCTCGGAGTAGCCAGCTTCCATTGCCAAAAAAACCTGAAATTGAAAAATATCTATTTTAATATGGTTTGCAGAAATCAACTAAAAGCAAACAAAAACAAGGGCCTTCTAAATACTTCTCCATACAGCAAAATGTACAAACACAGAATAATAGAAAAACAGATTATTCTATATCACTCAAACTAATTTTATTATGAATTTGGTAGAATTGGTTTAATAACTTTTAGAAGTTCATAATACCCAAATTTTTACCAGCTAGGCTACAGAGAAAATATATCAACAGGGTGATGTAAAGTAAAAGGGCAGCCTAAACTTGAACATTGAAACGTTTCGCATCTCAAGAAATCCAACAAACAATTCAATCCAACAGAGATGGGGGAGTCCAGCAAACAGACCCAGTTGGAAATAGCTACTCATGTTCAAATGAAAAATTTAATTAGATCTACCCCTAGAAGTTAGAAAAAATAATATAGAATAACTGATATCAACAAACAAAAGCGACTCAGTCCTTTCAGTCTTCTTATTCCTTTTCTTTTTGAGATTGAGAATGATTCAAAAGTAAGTCAAGCTTTTACCCAAGAAGAAGCTTACCAAATACTGAAGCAGTTGTCTATCACCCTTTGCCCTTGCCTCTGCCACATCCCAGCATCCCTTTTCTGCTAGCTTCTTTAGTATGCTGCATAATGGTAAAATATTATCAGTCCCTACTACATAGTATGTTTTCAGCATCCCTTACTCCCCATTACTTCTTCCACTTGGAAGAGGGTAGGACAGTAGGGCTTATGAGGAGACGATGGTTCCTCTAGGTACCTCTCTTTATATTTATGATATATATCAGGAAAATCCTCCTGGAGATTGTTTTTCTTTATAGTGACATAAGCATTCTTTAGCATGTTCCTGTCAGCATACTCCTGGACAAGTATAGATAACACTGGCCTCCCCATAAAAGTTGCCCACTTCTCTGCTGCACTGAATTCTTTGTTCTCAATCATTTTGAAAAGAAATGAATGCCCAGACTGGCGAATAGAGAAATGTTCTAATAGAGTGACAGCTATCATATATGACTGTGATTCAATCAGTCCAAATATATACTGCTCAATGGATGCTTTTGCAGTGTTAAACCTACAATCATTTTGGGCCTTTAATTCAGATACTACTTCCTCAACATCTGTCAACCTAACATCAAAAATTTCAATTATCTTTGTAGTGATTCTCTCAGTATGGTCTACAGACCCCCCAACAATATAAATAACCAACCGTGCTGCCAGTCTTTTTGCATTCAAGGGGTCTGCAGAGGTAGTTGTAGCCTTTTGGAAACGAACAAGAGCAGATAATATCAAGTGACTGAACCCTTCAGAATGCAACTCAAATATGGGAAGGACATAAAGGCATTGGAGAACAAAAGTAGCCACCCCTGATTGGGGAGAATTACGTAGAACATTATAGACCTGTTGTTGGAGAGCTCGGAACTTTACTGTTGCCTTACACGTTCCTGTAAAATTCACTTATTCAGAATCAGCATGAACAAGAAAACATACAGGGAAAAAAGAAAAAAAGAAAAGAACCAGGAAGCATCATATTGAGCCAATCTTTTGAAATGTTCGACCAAAAACGTCTAGGTTCAAGCTTAATCATTTATAAATCTAAAAAGGGAAAATTCTAAATTAAACTTGTATTCTAGTATAGAGAGAGGTTATTTTGTCCCAGACATACTGAACAAACCAACCAAGTTCCACAGGACATGGTATAGCATTACAGCCAGCAAGAACATAGATGTCACCTCAGGGGTAAATCTAGGTTCTGGTTCGGTAACAAGAGATTCATATAGGGAAATGCTGCCACTCATAACATAATATAACCACAACATATGATTCAAAAAGTTTTCAACAGTTGATTTCTCCTACATTAAGGGCCATTAGATGGTGCTTGTCCTCCTGTCCTGACATTTTTCATCATCAGTACAAAACAAAAACTACTCAGCCAATTACTCTAACAGCTTTAGAGGCTCAAATCTGAAAAGGAAAGAGTTGCACATAAGTGTAGTTATTTATGTATGCATTCAGAATTGACATAAAATGGTGACAAACAATACACAATAACTAAACCAAGAAACTTCCCAAGAAAACAATATCATTCTAGCAAACATAAAGATTAGCAAAGAGTGATTGAAAGGTCATACCATGAGCGTAGCATTCTTTTAGAAGGTATAAGAACACCACCGGAGAAACGTGGGTCAAATCAGAGAAAGCATGAACAGAAATTGTTTTGTCTTGGCAAGTTTTGTTTGTTCCGTCCGGTAGCTTTACAATATTCTCCTCAAACCCCATGCTGAGAAGCCACAGCAAACACACTGGAAAACAAAAATGAACAATAAGAGGACACATATTAGTCTGTTTCTCCCAATTTTATTTTCCTCTCCTTTCTTATCAACCAAACAGCTATCATAAGAAAGCTACAATCTGCTCAATTATTTGGAAACCACAGCAGGAAAAACCAGATGAGCCTCATAACCGCAATAACATCTAGAAATTTACATTTTAAGCATCTAAGACAAGAATTAAAGCTGCTTGACTGCAAATTTTGAAGCTAATTACTCTTTTTGATGCTCCAAAAATGCAGGGAAGAAAAAAAAAACTCTAGAAATTAAAATACATTCATTACAATGAACTCGAAAATTTAACAAAACAACAAAAACAAGCTTCTTAAAATCAAAGTAAATAAATTATCCCCATACCTGGACGTTTTCTCGGAAAATCTTGTTCTTTTTCTCATAAACCAAACAATTTCTGTGGAAAAAACAACTACACCGTACAATATATCAGAAACGAACAGTGAAAAAAAAATTTTTGGAATATAAATGCAGAAAACTTAGAGAGGGCCGTTATTTTTCCGCCTCTTCTGACACTGTCGCAGTCGCTTCACAGCGGATAAAATGGGTTTCTATAAATAAATAAATTTTAGAACTTTTTTCTTTTCAATCCAAAGGTTTAGATTACAACAAAAAAA